ATGACCTAATTTGCATAATTTATGCAAAAATTCTATGATTTCTTAATGGTGAATAATGGGAATGTCATACTTGGGACATCTGTAAGTTAATCAAAAGTTAACATACATCACGATGCATATATCATGTTAATGCGGAGGTAATTTGCATAATTAAAGAAGAAATTTACATTTACATATCACGCCCATATTTCATGGAGGTATGAGATCTCGGAATTCTTGTTGATGATGAAATCTTTAATGCCAGGTCTCGTTTTGTTGATGTACCATTTAACTTGTATATTCATTCATAAACAAATTTCGTAAACAATAACCTGAACGAAGTATGTTTTTCCTACCAGACCGCGCGTATCCGGGTGGAGCGAGCGGCCGCTGTGGTGTCTGTAGCTTCCTCCGCGCCCGCCGCAGCTGCCAGGCCGCCGGCATCGCCGTGCTACTGGGCCTGGTTGCCGTGGGACTCGCCCCTCTGACGTTCAGCAACAAACAGGTAACAGTCTTGTACTACAAAGCTTGTTGTCTAGCTGGTTTTTTTTCTGATTCTCGATCTGTTTTTCTTTATATAAGGGTACAAAAATGAATTTTGTGCTATTTTTCGTTTGTCTGCTGCTTACGTTTTGTATTCTAACGTACGTATATACATTGTAGGAAATATCTCAATTGTCCACCACTGTTGACGCCTTAAAACGCGACCTGGACAACGAGCGAAACCGAGCCGCCGCCTTCAGCAACAAACAGGTAACAGTCTTGTACTACAAAGCTTATTGTCCAGATGTTTTTTTTTTTTTTCTGATTCTCGATCTGTTTTTCTTTATAAGATGGTACGAAAATGAATTTTGTGCTGTTTTTCGTATGCCCGTTGTTTACGTTTTGTATTCTGACGTACGTATATACATTGTAGGAAATATCTCAATTGTCCACCACTGTTGACGCATTGAAACGCGTACAAGACGGCATGTCCATCACTGTCGACGCCTTGAAACGCGACCTGGACAACGGGCGAAACCGAACCGCCGCCTTCAGCAACAAACAGGTAACAGTCTTGTACTACAAAGCTTGTTGTCCAGCTGTTTTTTTTTTCTGATTCTCGATCTGTTTTTCTTTATAAGAGGGTACAAAAATGAATTTTGTGCTGTTTTTCGTATGTCTGCTGCTTACGTTTTGCATTCTGACGTACGTATATACATTGTAGGAAATATCTCAATTGTCCACCACTGTTGACGCCTTAAAACGCGACCTGGACAACGAGCGAAACCGAGCCGCCGCCTTGGAGCAGCGTCTTCACGAGATTGAGAAGACTTTACTTATTACCTCCATGAAAAATGGAGGTATTGTTTTTGGCGTGTCTGTCTGTATGTATGTCTGTGTGTGTGCCTGTCTGTCTGTGTGTGTGTCTGTGTGTGTTTCCGCAACTTTGTAGTCAGCATAACTTCAGAACGCCTTTATGGATTGTGATGATATTTGGTATGATGGTAAGTCTTGGAAAGACAAAGGTCAAGGTCAAGTATGGGCCTCCTGGTGGACGACCTTGGTACTGCAGCAGAACTTCCGGTTTTTGTATCTTTTGTCCTGAAAAAGTTATGGTCTTGACTTTTTGGTGACAGATAGCTTATCCTGTTAGGAATAAGTGGCGTAAGTTTGGTCCCCCTAGCAGTTTGTTCTGGAACTGCAGGTTAGTTTCTGGTAAAAACTTTCAAAGCCAATAAGTCCAGATTGGAACAACGTATTTTCATCATTTTTGGTGTGTAGGTACCTGAGAGACAGTTGTACATGATTAAATGCAAATTATGCAAATGAGGACTTTATTTGCATAATTAATGAGGACATTCTATAATTACAGTGTTTTACATTATACTACTTTCATACATGTAATGTATGTAAGCTATGGCAGGCGGAGCATCAACAGATACTAATTATGCAAATTATGACCTAATTTGCATAATTAATGCGAAAATTCTATGATTTCTTAATGGTGAATGATGGGAATGTCATACTTGGGACATCTGTAAGTTAATCAAAAGTTAACATCACGATGCATATATTATGTTAATGCAGAGGTCGTTTGCATAATTAAAGAAGAAGTTTACATTTACATATCAAGCCCATATTTCATGGAGGTATGAAGTCTCGGAATTCTTGGTTATAAATTCGTGTTCAGTTGTTATGTTTTTTTTTTCACTTAAAAAAAGAAAACGATGAATAATGAATTATTTACAAGCAAATGTGCAGGGTAGCCCCATGAAACCTAAGGGTCTATCGGAGGGGGGGGCTTCCCTTTTTTAAATTACTTTTACACACAGGACAGGTATTGAAAACACAGGAGAAACAAAAGTAAATCAAAATAGATACAATATAAAGTTAACACGACGGACTAACTAACTAACTACTAATTTATAATTATAAAGTAAGACAATAAAAAAACATAATGAAAAGTCAAATCATTAAGTTATTATGCATAAGGATGAAGTATAAACATAAATACTAAATATTAACAAAATATGCATAAATGAAATAATCATAACATAGGAAAAACAAGGAAAACAAACAAGTAGTAGATGGCTTCTCTATCATGTCTTTTGGTGCCAGTTATGTTGGTCAATTTGACACAATCATGGGGGGGGGTTGTCGCCTTAGCGTTTAACTGTGTCATATCATTTGTTTTTAGATACAGCCCCTAGGGTATATTAATTACTGGTGAAGCATATATATTGCATGTATGTCATGATTTTCCATATGGCCCATCCGTTGCCTGTTGCTAATACAAAACTTGTTTTTCAGCATCTTGTCCTGAAGGTTACACAATCGGGCGTGGAATCTGCTACAAGGCCTGCAACACACTCAAGACCTTCAGCGAAGCGGACGCGACCTGTCGTGTAGACGGCGGCACCCTCGCCATGCCCCGAGACGCTGACACCAACGACTTCCTGGTCTCCCTGTACAAGCCCGTGAACGACCATACGTCCTTCTGGTTCGGTCTGCACGATCAGCGCGAAGAGGGAAGGTTTGAGTGGGTGGACGGTTCTGCACTTGGGCCGTACAACTCCTGGGCTCCGAAAGAACCGAACGACGCGGGTAGTGGCGAAGATTGCGCCGTTTACTCCGCAAAGCTGAAACACAAGTGGAACGACCAACCATGCCACTTTCAGCTTTACTTCATATGCCAGGCTGCTCCAGGTAATAGTTGTATCTTTGCTATTCCCTGAAAACCTTTAATTTATCGTAAACATGGCACAGCTTAATTAAGGCCATGTTGATTTGATTATATGGATGACATCCTCTGGGAACCCCAAAACTGATGCGAGCGCGCGAATAAAAAAAAAGTTTTGAAAAAAAAAAAGTTGCTTTCATGAAATCTACGTTGTTATGAAGGTCCAACAAATGACATGGTATGTATGGTATGGCAAATAATCTACTCTTTAAATTCATTTCTTTGCATTTTAGTTTTTTGTTTGATTTTGGCATTCTACGACGTTGGAATAGTTTTCAAATATTTTTTTTTGCAACTTTCGGTATATATTTGCTCATTTTGCAACTGTTTTGTACAATTTACAGTGTGGTTGGAAACTTTTTTTTTTGGAAACGCCCGAAAATTCATGCGCGCGCGGATGTCATCGATATAATCAAATCAACATGGCCTAAATACCCGCCAGAATGAGGCGGCAGACCACCATTGCTCTTGTCACAAACCATGTCTTCATTAAATGAATCCACAGCTCGTCCCTGATAATTCTCATTGATTTTTTTTTTCAGAACGCCCATAGGCGACACCACTACTGTACAGCGGCTCTCTGACCATCCGCAGTAAAGCTAACAAAGTAAAACTTAATACCGGCATTTATAACATTGGTTTAGATCAGTATATTTCCCAAATGTCAATATTTATACAAGTTTATTGTACAGTAGAAATACTGAATGGAATGAAGCAGTACTGTACATGCAATGGTAGTCACAATTGTTCCCATACTTCTGAGGGCGGAATCATATCAAGTTTATTTGATAAAAATGAGGGCAACATCCAGATGTAAGTTTTCCTGAATATGTGGAGGATAGTAAGTTTATGAATGGTGATTCCTTCTGATGGCAGAATTACTTTGTGAACTTTTGGGGGGCAACAACTTGAGCACGTCTTAAAACAGGGTGGTTTTGTCATAGAAGATGCTGTGCCAATAGAACATGCATAGTTTTATTACTTATTATTACTCATTTAATCAAGGCACACAATGTCGTTCTGATGGCGGAATCATATCAAGTTTACTTGATGAAAATGAGGGCATTCAGATGTTTTTGGAGGATAGCAAGTTTAGGCATGGTGATTCTGTTATAGAATTTGACGCTGTGCCGATAGAACATTCATATGTTTATTGCTTTTATGACTTATTATTACTTATTTAGACAAGACACACAATGTCCTTCAATGCCAGAATCATATCAAGTTTACTTGATGAAAATGAGGGCAACATTGTGATGTAAGTTTTCCTGAATATTTGGAGGATAGCAAGTTTAGGAATGGTGATTTTCTGGTAGAAACAGACACTGTGCCAAAAGAATATGCATAGTTTTTGCAATATTTTAATTATCTCCCTCTGGGCACCTGTTTTGAATTTGCCAGTGTTGCCTGGTCCATATTACCAGTGTTCTTTTATTTTCCCTTAAGCTTGTACACCTTCCCTTTGCCAGCTACGTTCTTTTTAGGCCGATTTCTACTATTTATACAGCCTGCAAAGGAGTCTGGTGGAGACTAATAATTTCCCCGGGTAACGGCTTCACTTAAGTTGTCCCGAGTATGCAAATGAGGGCGCTAACATGCAAAACATTGTATACTGGTTACCCACACATATACACCCCTACGTATTCCTGCACATCTTCGCAAATCGTTACACATACTCACATATTCTTAATACTCCTCCCCTATCCTTACACATCCTCCCCTATCCTCACACACCCTCCCCTATCCTTACACATCCTCCCATATCCTTACACATCCTCACACATCCTCCCCTATCCTTACACACCCTCACACATCCTCACATATTCTTGCCAATCCTCTCCCATCCTCACATATTCTTACTCATCCTCACACATCCTCTCCCATTCTCACACATCCTCTCCCATCCTTACACATCCTCTCCCATCCTCACATATTCTTACTCATCCTCACACATCCTCTCCCATTCTCACACATCCTCTCCCATCCTTACACATCCTCTCCCATCCTTACCTATCCTCTCCCATCCTCTCCCATTCTCACACATCCTTACACATCCTCTCCCATCCTTACCTATCCTCTCCCATCCTCACACATCCTCTCCCATTCTCACACATCCTCTCCCATCCTTACCTATCCTCTCCCATCCTTACCTATCCTCTCCCATCCTCACACATCCTCTCCCATCCTCACACATCCTCCCCTATCCTTACACATCCTCACATATTCTTGCCAATCCTCTCCCATCCTCACATATTCTTACTCATCCTCACACATCCTCTCCCATTCTCACACATCCTTACCCATCCTCACATATTCTTACCTATCCTCTCCCATCCTCACACATCCTTACCCATCCTCCCCTATCCTTACATATTCTTGCCAATCCTCTCCCATCCTCACATATTCTTACTCATCCTCACACATCCTCTCCCATTCTCACACATCCTCTCCCATCCTTACCTATCCTCTCCCATCCTTACCTATCCTCACACATCCTCCCCTATCCTTACACATCCTCATATTCTTGCCAATCCTCTCCCATCCTCACATATTCTTACTCATCCTCACACATCCTCTCCCATTCTCACACATCCTCTCCCATCCTCTCCCATTCTTACCCATCCTCTCCCATCCTTACACATTCGTACCCATCCTCTCCCATCCTTACACATTCATACCCATCCTCTCCCATCCTTACCCATCCTTACACATTCTTACCCATCCTCTCCCATCCTTATCCTTACACATTCTTACCCATCCTCTCCCATCCTTACAAATTCTTACCCATCCTCTCACATTCTTACCCATCCTCTCCCATCCTTACAATATAAAACAAAATTTTAACAAAACGAAAATTTATTTCCAACAAATAGAAACAACTTGAACAAATGCATGTTAACATAACCACAACTGCAAAAAAAAAAACACTTCACATATGTACTTCAAGATAAATATCAAGTTATACTACACAATATAACTAACTACACAATGTAAAAGCATAGATTAGAATATCAGCAACAACAGTCTTTATCTACGTACTTACAACTACATGAACTAATTCTATCATCTATCGCAATCATTAGTCATAAACAAGATAACAAATACTATACTAAAAACTGATTCTATAACTGTATAGGTTAACAGAACAATAACGTGCTAATATTGAATGGTAATCCTTCTAATTAAAACTCTCTTCAAAAGAAAAAGAACATTAAAGAAGTGAACTATGGTTAGTGCAATATACAGTACTTGGCATCCCCCAAGTTGTTATGCTATGCCGTGGAATGCTACAAATTGGATGTACCACATGTCCAATGTCTCCAATTGCAACAAACAAAACATTCTATGAAAGATACTGCAAAATTCATATACAGCTTTTAAATCACTGTTTGTAGTAACATTATATCCTGAAGAGCTAATACATGGATTTATTGTATGTTTTGAATCCTCACCTTCAAAATACAATTTATATAATCTTATGTCTTCGTCACAATGGTGTCTGGCCTCAGTTATGGCCTCAGTCCATTTCGTTTTTCCTGTATGGTTTCACATGATCCACCTTCCATCAGTGATTACAGCATTCTCACCACTTTCAAGTATTCTAAAATTGTCCACTCAAGAGTTTACACGTGTCCCTTGCAATGACCCATGAGACTTGACAGTTTACTGCACTCCTCACACTGTTGAGTTTCTTCCCTGTCTCACTTTGCAAGCAGGTTTCATGACCATCATCACAACTTAGTCCTCAAAACCATGAGGTTTTGTACTCCTCAGTCAAACCTGTAGGGTTTCTCACAGGTGTGTACGCATGTGTCTCTTCAGTCTACCTCGCCGACTGAACTGCTTACCACACTTCTCACACCTGTAAGGTTTCTCTCCTGTGTGAGTCTGCATGTGTTCCTTCAGACCACTCAGCTGACTAAACTGACTGCCACATTCCTCACACCTGTATGGTCTCTCCCCTGTGTGAGTCCGCATGTGGGTCTTCAGAGTACCTATCTGACTGAACTGCTTGCCACACTTCTCACACCTGTAGGGTTTCTCCCCTGTGTGAGTCCGCATGTGGTCCTTCAGATGACTCAGCTGACTAAACTGACTGCCACATTCCTTACACCTGTATGGTCTCTCCCCTGTGTGAGTCCGCATGTGGGTCTTCAGACTATCTACCCGAATGAACTGCTTGCTGCACTGCTCACACTTGTAGGGTTTCTCCCCTGTGTGAGTCCGCATGTGGTCCTTCAGATGACTCAGCTGACTAAACTGACTGCCACATTCCTCACACCTGTATGGTCTCTCCCCTGTGTGAGTCCGCATGTGGGTCTTCAGACTACCTAGCCGACTGAACTGCTTGCTGCACTGCTCACACTTGTAGGGTTTCTCACCTGTGTGAGTCCGCATGTGTCTCTTTAGACTATCCGGCCAACTGAACTGCCTGCTACACTCCTCACACCTGTGGGATTTCTCCCCTGTGTGAGTCAGCATGTGAGACTTCAGGCTACCCAGCTGAGTGAACTGCCTGCTGCACTCCTCACACTTGTAGGGTTTCTCACCTGTGTGAGTCCGCATGTGTGTCTTAAGACTATGCGGCAGACTGAACTGCCTGTCACACTTCTCACACCTGAAGGGTTTCTCACCCGTGTGAGTCAGCATGTGTCTCTTCAGATGCTGCATCTGACTGAACTGCCTGCCGCACTCCTCACACTTGAAGGATTTCTCACCTGTGTGAGTCCGCATGTGAGTCGTCAGAGCACCCAGCTGCCTAAACTGCTTGCTGCATTTCTCACACTTGTAGGGTTTCTCCCCTGTGTGCGTTCGCATGTGTCTCTTCAGATTACACAGATAACGGAACTGTCTGCTGCACTCCTCACACCTGTAGGGTTTCTCCCCGGTATGAGTCCTCATATGGGATTTCAGACCACCCAGTTCACTGAACTGCCTGTTGCACTCCTCACACCTGTAAGGTTTCTCACCTGTGTGAGTCCGCATGTGAGCCTT